TTTGCATCTAAACATTCCCAAAGCTTCTGACACCTGTTCTGTTTGACACTGGAAGCGATGCCCTTACTAAAGTATTACAGTTTTCTGGTTTTACTAAAAGCTTGACTAAATTTACCAGATGCTTTAGGTTTTTCAGACAACACACTTGAGCATTGTAAGCTTGCAGGAATCTCTTAATTATTTCCATTTCTGGGATGAATGCGGAAGGATTTGAGTAAGCAGACTGGGCCCAGGGCACGTGAAGCTTCTCGGACTAGCGGGCAGAAGAAAATGCCGCTGGGAGAGCTCGCTGACTTCAGTCTGAATGGGGGGGTTCCCTTCAGCTCATTTGCTTTCTGTAAGAAGCACGGTCCAGGTGGCTACACCCCACCCACTTACATATACCTGCTCACAAGGGAACACAATAAAACTGTATTTTAAACTGGTATTTATTTGGGTTTTCACAGGATTCACGAGAGGGCTTTTCCCAGGGCAATCTATAGAAAAGATCCCAATCCATCCACCTCCAAAGTCCAGTTTAATATGAACTCTCCCAACTTTCTGAAAGCTTAATATTTTTGAACCCAAAAATCATCCAGTTCAAATTCCATACTCTTTCAGTTGAGGACACTGTGGTGAAAGGAGAGGTCATCTGGCTCATCTGCTTTTGGGTGGTGGAACAGGCACTCGACACCCAGCTTAACTGTCACCTTCTCTGTAAGCCTTCCCTGTCCCCAGCTGCTCCCTCTCTGAACTAACATGACCTTTTGTGTACTTGCCTCTGCCCCAACTTTTCTATCACAGCACGTGCCTCACTTTATAGTTTTCATTTGTTTACATCTATGTTTTTCCACTTTACTTTGAATTCCATAAAAAAGGGTTAAAGACTTACTCATGTTTTGACTACCTCCCTAAAACCACTACTGAGGAGCCATTCAAAACTGCCTGAAGAATTAATTCATGAATGACCAGACCTTTACTTTACCACCTTCCCTGCGACGGTTCCTTTTCTCTGTGTACAAAATGAAGATTGCACTGATGTGTCTCGAGATAATTGTCCACTTACGTATGGCCAGTGTTTCAAGGCCCTAAAAGAGCTCTATAAATGCCAACCATGATTACAACCCTTTGAAACAATGGGATATATGATTTACAAGTGGAAAAAGATGAGACACAGCAGGTAATGTTTCTTGCCTGGTTCACATTTCTATCCCCACCCATCATCAGATAGTGATTCAGAGGTAAAAACATCAACTTGGGAAGAGTGAGGAGGGTGTAAGTAGGGTCTAGGTAGAATTTCCAGGACCCATGCCATCACATCTGATGGGGCCAAGGGCAAGGGCTCTCGGGTGGAACGATGCTATTCAATTCCCTTCTGAAGTGGAGACTCAGATGATCAGTTCTACCAGAGCAGAAGACGACTTGGGACAAGGACCAGAAATTTGTCCAAACCTATGGTACCTTCGACCTTCTCTGTGGTGACCTACCAAGAACAGGGAGGGCAAGGCTTGTCTTGTTCACCTTTTCTTCCCTCTCCCCGAAGGCGTATCACATCAAGTGGCCAGAAAAGGTGACTGTCTATTGACTGAACGGAGCATTCAGATTTCCTCCCTAATAATGTGTGTCAGGAAAAGAGGGGGCAGAAACGTTTTGTTTGGTTATTTTTCTGTGTGCCCTTAACAAGATCGCTGAAGGAAGAGGTGACTCACTGAGCCAACTTCTCATATGGCTGAGGTCATCATCCATTGTAGAGCGGAGCCAGAATCAATGATCAGATTGTTCCAGACGTGACATCGTCTGGCCTCAGAGGTCAGCAGCGGGCACAGAGAACACTGTGATTTCCCAGGGGGAGGAGGACTGGGGGAGGCTCTGACAGTGTGAATCCGCAGCTCAGCCCAGCAGTGAGCTCAGAAGTGGTTGATGTTACTTGTCTCTCTGTGTTTGACGAAATCAACCAGGCCCAAAACAAAACGAGCCCTGATGTCTCCTGTTGGAAACATCAAATTACCTGGGACTAGAGGATTTGTGGGCGGGCTGTGGGATTCTGTGGGAGGTCACTTCACATCACAGGCTTCTTGGCAGGAGCTGGAGAGGGAATCATAAACGTGGGCCCAGTCTAACTGACGCATTAAGGTTTTCTGCCACATGGCTCCTGTTTCCCCCGAATTCTGGATGTGGCAACAGTTCAAATCGTTTTCTCACTTCTCAGCCGAACCATTGTCAGTCACCTCAGAATGGTAATCCTTCGGCATAAGGAACTGGTGAGGTGGCCCCCATTACCTCCTTTCTTGACGTCAGTGAGGGGTTGTTTGCTATGGCTCTTCTGTGAAATATTCAGCATTTGGACTGCAATTAAAATTCATAGCTATGTATTATTAAATGGTACTGACTCATTCCATGACTTCTCCTCCACTGAATAAGTGCCAAAAAGTGCCATATCCACAGGCTGCATGAAACTAAAAGTTCCTTGTCAAACAATTTACATTCAGGGCTCCGAAGACAGCACATTACACATCCAAGAATATCACTCAGTGTTTTCTCAAGGGGAAATTTAAGTTCTGGATTCTTTCTGCTAGAGGGAGAGGAAGATGGCTCCTGAGAAGAACCTTCTTCCCTTTTGTGAGTTTCACGAAAGCAGTGCCTGGCTCACAGAATTTACTCAAAAATGGGCTGATCTGATTGAATTGTGTACCCCATATGCACTATATCTCAGAGAAGGGCAAATGTGCCTTCACACATAATTCAGCAGGAAAATAAAAGATAAAAAGTTTAGATTTTATTAAACCAACCAATTTTTCTTCCCCGTCATGTATTTAGTATTGGATATGTTTGGAAGCATGGCCGAGAGAGCAAACCACCCTAGTCCTTTTCTCCCCTCCTGTTAAAAAAAACTGTGCTTTTGCCTCAGACAAGGACACTCCATGCTCACCAATCACAGGCTCGCATCTCACTGTCCCCCACCTCCTCATCTGCAAAATGGGCACGTGAACAAGCTGTGTGTTACAAGCAATGAAATCACGTAGGTGAAAATAAAGCTTTGTAAAACCTCAGGCTTTTTATACACATGGTAATTCCCCAAGAGGTAGAGATTAAGAGTCCTAGACATGAAGTGATAAGTTGGGTTTTATAGCCTGGCCTGCCTCAAGCACATAGAATACTGTTGAGTGAAACTAGAGAAAGGCTCCCCTTGTAGACAGGCCCAGGTCTGCGGGTCCACAGATTGGGGAGCGAGCATAATTTTTGACAACTACAAAAGGCAGCTCTTCTTCTTGTGGATGTTGCCCTTTGCCAGGATTCCTGCCAGGTCTGCGGGTCCACAGATTGGGAAGCGAGCATCATTTTTGACAACTACAAAAAGGCAGCCCTTCTTCTTGTGGATGTTGCCCTTTGCCAGGATTCCTGTGCCCACAAGCCTCCTGGGCCAGGCATTCTCCCATCACTCCAATTCTGTCACCAGATCTCCCAGGCATGGGATTGAACTGTGACTTCTAAGACCTCCTTCACACCTTCACTTTGTAATTCTAAAAGCTACAAAAACTCAAATGGGCTCTTCTAGCACATGGACTGTCATTTTTCAGTTCAATTTTTTAAAGTCATCCGATGACACTCCCTAACTATTTGAATGAAATCATGTATGGTTTGATGTGGAGCAGATTAAAAATATAAATGCTTTCCAGAATAGATGATGTCCCAGGTGTAAAACAATATTGGTAACCTACAAAACAAGAAAAACTCCTCCGTTGTCAGCAAAGGTTGGGAGATATGGATCTACCACAAAGTAGATTTATGGAGGCCTTCACCTACTTTCTGTGGGGCTGAATGTCAGAATCCCTGCTGAAGCCCCTTGCTTGCTCAGAGCACCCAGAGCACCCAGAGCACCCAGGAAGTGGGACTGCAAGGAGCCAAGGGCTGTTTTCTTTGTTGATGCCCTGTTGCCAGAAAACAGAAATCAGATCCTTGCCCGGATCTTTCTATCAGCAGATCTGAGTGCCAGCAAACACTTCTCAGAGATAGCAAACAAATAGCAATCTACCTTTTCAGAGCTCAGAAACTTTTATGGCCTTAAAATTGGGTTTAAAGTTTTAAAATCACATCCTGTATAATAAAGAGCTATTATGCTAATTAGACTGAACAGCAGAACAACGATCCAAGCAACTTTCTGGACGACCATCCAGATGACCTTCCGGATGAAGCCAGGGCTGTGAGGGCCGAGCCCCTTGCATGAATTTTGTGCATGGGGCCTCTGGTATACATATAATGAACCTAGTCACACAAGTCTCAAAATGTTAGTAGAAATAAATGTGGTTGAATTTGTGAATATTTCCAAAACCAGTTCTTGTTGTTTGTTTGTTTGTTTGTTTAGAGCCAGGCTTCTGGAAACAAGTACAGCCAATTATGTCACTTATAGAGAAGAAAACTGGAGCCCAGAAAGGGAAGGAGAGTAGCTCCAGGTCACACAGCAGGGCATGTATGATCGCGCTGCGATTATAATCTAATGTTCTTTCCACTCTCCCATGATGGAAATGCAACTAGAAGGTTGGGTGGAAAACAGCACATAAATCACAATGACTCATTTGTTCAGTCTCAAGGATGAATGTTCTTATCACTCACTCAGATCATAAATGGCGGAAAGTCAATGTGAGTTTTAGAAAAAAAAATTCATTTGCTGCTTCTCTGAAAGGCTACAGCCTCTAGCACTGTCCATCAAAGAGGCAGATGACCTCCCACTGTCTAGGGCAGCAGGTTCCCCTTGGCTAGAACCACCCCAGCCCCATCCCACATAATGTCTCAGAATTGGCACCAAGGACCAGACGTTGTCTGGATGAACACCTCTGTTTGCTACCCATTTCTGTTTCTTCAAAAGCAGTGCTCCCAGCTCTTGCAGCCACAGAGCATCTGCCAGCAAAACTAATCATTGCCCAACGTTGCCCCTGGGTCATCTCCAAAGCTCCTGTGGGACCACAAAACCATTACCTGAAGATAAACCAAATATTTGGGAGAAGAAAAACAAATGCCAGATATTAAAATAAGGCTCCCTTTATTAAACCGACCAGTCACAAGAACAAGCCCACATGCTGGACAGTAGCAAAGAGGAGGGACCACCAAGCTATGCAGATGAAGACTAGAATCAATTAGAAATCCATTTTTCTCAAGATCAACATGCTCCTTCTCACCCGTGAACTCCACTCTCAGGCGACATGCTCAGAATCAGATGGGATTCAAAATTTTCTTCTAAACATCACTGGGGTGAAGATCCATTCTATTTCAAACCCCTAAGCAACCTCCAGAAGAACATGACTCCCAGGGAGTCCTTTCTGGAGCACTGTGGAGGACAGATCGAAGCTTCCAGTGTAAGTTTGTCTTCTGGTAGAAATACCACCAAGGCCTTGGAAAGGTTGGGCCCCTCCATCTCACACAGTACTTATCAGAGTGGTTCTTTCTCAGAGCCTGGGGACCCTCAGCCAGTGATAGATGAGGCAGTGCAGACGCCACCACCACCGGGCACCTCAGGCTCAAACTCATGGCCATCAGCACCATGAGAGGAGGTGGCTGAGAGGCTCAGAGCCAGAAAGACCTTCTGAGATGGCAACACACGCCAGCTTTAGAATTACATCACACATAGTGTACCCCAAAAGGACTTACTCTTTCTGCTTTAGCTCTTGTATCTGCAGCCAATGAAGTGCATGTGTGTGGGGTGGGGGGGGGGGAGATGACTGGGTGTTGAGAGATGAACTGATGAAAAAACCAAGACAGACAGACAGACTGAGTGAGGCAAAGCAAACATCCTTAGGAACAGAAGGGAGATCTGATGACTCGTATTAACCTGTTAATTTATACCATGGCTCTGTACAAAAATAAAAAGGTTCTCATAAGATTATTAACAATTTAAATAAATATCTGATAGAACACTCTTTCTCATTTTTATAGCTCATCTTTTGGGTTGATGTTCAGTTCGTGTTTCCCTTGTTGTTCTTGATCCAGGATTGCAATCACTTCGTCGGCTTTTATCCGCTCCTGCAAAAAAGACAATTTGCACATTTTTGTTACAAGCATCATAGTCAGTCCTGGTGGCAGATGCTTTCCCAACACTTCCAGGCATCCATCTGTCCACGGAATGGAAGCTAAATACAGTTAAGGATTGAGCCTCATCTCATCCCAGCAATGGTGCCTTCTCCTGATCTCCCTGTGTCCTAGTCAATCTACTTTCCAAAATTTCTCTCTTGCCAAGAAGTCTTCTATATTCAACTGCTGACTCCCTTTTCTATGTTGTGGTCCTATAGACATCTCCAGGTCAGCTCTACAGTTCAGTATTTCAAGCTGAATTCACAGTTTTCTTCTGCACATACCTACTCTGTTCCTCCTCACAAATTCTCTCTCTCAGTGAGCCCACCCCTGCTCACCCATGTGCCCTAAAAGCCTGACCATGGATCCTTGGATCTCATCTACCTCCTGTGCCCACCCCTTTCTTTTCAGTGCACATTACTGTTACCTTAGCTTAGGCCAGGTTTCTCAACCTCAGCTCTACTGACATTTTGGAACAGATCATTCTTTCCTGTGAGGGCTGTTCTGTGTGTTGTAGGGCATTTAGCAGCATCCCTGGCCAGTAGCAGCTCTCCCCAAGTCATGACCACCAGAATTGCTTCTGGACATTGTCAAATGTGCCTTAGGAGGCAAACCAGCTCCCGCTTGAAAAGCAAGGGTTTAGGCTTTCATCATCTCTCAACTCAATTGCTACAGCAGCCTCCAAATTGATCTGTTCCACACCCCATACCCACATGCTTCTAACAGAACCCATGTACTTGACTCATGACCATGTCATCTTCCTGTTCACTGCTCACAGCCCTGGCATGGCCTCTCAGTGCCTAAAGTTCCAGGTCCAATCTCCCTGCTGTGCTTATAAGGAGTTGTTTGATCTAGATCATTCTTTCTTTTCCAGCTCACCTGTCCTCTCTCACTTCACCTTATACTCCAACCTCCTAACTCACCTCAAGGTCTCTGAACCCATCACTCTCAGAAGAATTCCCCAGTTCTCTTTTCCACACATTTCTCACTATCTGAAAATCTCTCAATTATTTATTCTTTTACATATCTGTTGTCTTTTTCCACTAGAACGGAAGCTCCATGAAAGCAGGGAATCCTGTCATTTTGCTCACCGCTGTATTTCCAGTGCCCAGAGAAGCTATTTTCACTTTGCAAGGCCTCCATTCTATCTGGTACATTAATGTAAAAGTTCTATAAAAATATCTTCTCTTAAAGAAACTGTGCTCATCCTCTGAGACTCTTGTCAAATGTCATCTCCTCAATAAAGCCATTCCTGGTTTCCTGTTTATATCCCTTAATACCTATTATCGAACTGCTTCTTGTGTTTTAATTACTCAGGCACCTGTATTCACTGTCCACTTTGACTTGAAGCTCCTTGAAAATAGGAGTTTTTTCTGTCTTACCTATTTCATATCCCCTGTAGATAGTCCCTAGCACAATGCCTTATATTGTATGTCATGAAAGTAACTATTTTGCAACTTGAAAACAAAGCCCCATTCATTCAAGAACTTGTAATTGAAAATGACGTCAGATATAAAGGTAACTAAAAGGCCCAACTACACTAAATAACATAAATCTAAATTGCTGTCATGATGCCTAAGTAAAATGCCTGGATGCCACTTTGTGAATATGGGAAGAACAACCTGCTTCTTAACAACAGATGTACACACCAAACCCTCTCCCCAGACTGCCCGGGAGACTGCTGCATCCTCTCTCTCCTGAAAGGAAAGAAGTTCCACAGCGGGGACGCTACACGCAGGAACTGAAGCCTCTAATACTGGGCGTCTTTAAGAGTTTATGATGTGAGATACTCCGTAAGAACTAAGTACCTTTAAAATAACCTGTAACGAGCATGGGAGTTGCCAGCTCCGGTCATTTATTCATAGGCAGACTTCGTCTGCTCAGGGATTCAATCTGAGAAAAGGCGCCTAATTCAGGGACTTTCAAACTTTGCTGCACATTAGAATTACCTGAGCAGCTTTGAAAACTTCCGATACCCAGGTCACACCCCATGCCAATTAAATCAGAATTTCTGAGGAGGGCAGCCTGATGTCAGGAGTTTGTCAAGTTCCCCAGTTGATTCCAATGTAGAACATTGCTTGAGGCTCTGGTCATTTTTTTCTGTGGCCACTAGATGTCGCTATTGTCCAGCGACTGGAAACATTTCCCAGTATGTACTTGCCCTTCAGAGGAGCACCGATTAGGAAGGAGCAAAGGGAACTATTTTGTGTTAAAACTTTTATTTTGATAGAAAATATCTTGGAAGAGAGAGTTGAGATACTGAATAATAAAACAGATGAACTGTTTGCTGAATTGAACACTAAAGAGAGGAAACAGTAAAGCAATTTTTCAACAAGCTATCTTCACTGTCGGCTCGCTTATCTAGGCTCCCTAGTACAGAGTGCTGTGGCGGCATGCTGGCATTTGGAGGTGGAGAAGCACAGGAAAGAAAGGAATTAATCACAGATGAAGGAGATTGCTCAGTGTCCCTTGACGTTTTCAGAACTCTCTGTGCTCCTTTCCCTCAGTTGGGACCATTTCTTTTTCTCTTTCTGAACTTTTATATGCTTTTCTTTTTCTTTAAAAAATATTTTAAAAAATATTTTATTAAATTTTAGAGAGAGAGAAGGGAAAAGGAGAGAGAGGAACATTGATATGAGAGAGGAACATCAATAGGCGGCCTCCTGTACTTCCCCCTGTCCCCCACCAAGGGGCATTGAGCCTGCAACCTACCCAGGCATGTGCACTGACTGGAAATCAAATCAGCAACCTCTAGGTGCATGGGACAACACCCAACAAACTGAGCCACACCAGCTAAGGCTATATATGCCTTTCTTGATTCCCATACAACTCATACTGCTGTCTTCTCACTTTCTACTTCCTTGTCGACCACCCCAAGCTCCTCCTGGTCAGGTACTATGTTTTGTTCCCCTTTGTCCCCACCACCCCTCCCCCTCCCCAGGGCCTACCTAGCAGAGTTTCTCAGGCACAATAGTAGCTCTTCTGTAAACATTTGTTAAATATATGAATGAATGCTTAAAATATGGGGAGTTAGGTTTGATGGCAAAAAAGTATATGAGAAACCTAGTTAATTTTAAACAGTTTCTGATTAGATTGTATTCAATTTAGGGATCTAAAGAGGAAAATTGGATGGAATGTCATTTTATTTATTTTTAATTAATTTTTAAATATAGTTTTGATTTCAGAGAGGAAGGGAGAGGGAAAGAGAGAAACATCAATGACAAGAAAGAACCATTGATCGGCTATCTCCTGCATGCCCCCTACTGGGGGTCAAACCGGAATCAAACCTGGGACTTTTCAGTCCACAGGCTGATGCTCTATCCACTGAGCCAAACCAGGTAGGGCAGGTGGAATGTCATTTTAAAGAATAGAATTCATCTACAGTTGGGGCCAGAGAAGGCTTGGAAGCTGTCCAGTTGAAATTTCCATTTCAATGTCAGCATTCCATGCCAAGCGGCTGCTAAGGCTTTGATTGGAGCCATCCTGTGATGAGGAACTCACTACTTCCAAAGCAGACAACTTCAACAAACAGTGGTGATGATTTATAAGTTATTTCTAATATGTTGAATCCAATTTTTTCCCTAGGGAATTTGACCCATTGGTCTTCATTTATTCCTCTGCAACTTCACAGATAGGCCCTATCACCTCTGCCCAAGGGCATCCACAGGATAAGATCATGGTCTCTTATCCAGGCAAAGTGTCCTCAGCTGCTTCCCATATAATAAGAACAATATTTTAATATTTAGGATTTAATTTAATCATAATAAATAACATTGAACTTCCAGGTTCCCTTACCCCTTCTACGTGTGTCATAAACTAGTCAGTGCCCCTTGAATGATTTGTTGAGAAAACGAATCATCCTTCCCAGTAACCAGTAGAAAGCGGTTCCTCTCTTCTGATGCTACAGTTGTTGTTGTTTTTTAAATAAAGCTTAAGGACAGCCAAATATCATTGATATATCAACTTCTGCAGACATTCACTTATTAGAACGCATGTGATTAAAAATTGCCTTCGTCGGCAATGAGGTATCACCTCACACCTGTCAGAATGGCTACCATCAACAACAAATCAACAAATGAAAGTACTGGTGAGGATTAGAGAAAAGGGAACCTTAGTACACTGCTGCGGGGAATGTAGACTGGCGCAGGCACCATGGAAAACAGTATGGACTTTCCTCAACTGCCATTTGACTCAGTGATGCCACTTCTAGGAATATATACTAAGAAACATCAGAAGGAATATATACCCCCATATGTTCATAGTAGCACAATTTATAATAGCTAAGATCTGGAAACAGCCCAAGTGCCCATCAGTAGATGAGTGGATAAAAAGCTGTGGTTCATTTACATCATGGAATACTATGCAGCTGTAAAGAAAGGATCTCTTACCCTTTGAGACAGCATGGAAGGACCTGGAGAGTATTATGCTAAGTGAAAAAAGCTATTCAGAGGAAGAAAAGTATCACATATCTCACTCACATGTAGAATGCAATAAACAAAATAAACTGATGAACAAAATAGATCCAGAGACATAGAAACATAGAATAATCTGATGAATCTCAGAGGGAAGGCAGGGGTGGGTGGGTAGGTAGGAAGAGATTAACCAAAGAATTTATATGCATATATGCATATCCCGTGGACACAGACAATAGTGTGGTGAAAGCCTGGGGCGGGGGAGGGCTAGAAGGGGCCAATGGGGAGGAAGATGGGCATCTGTAATACTTTCAACAATAAAGATAATTAAAAAAAAAAAAAGAATTGCCTTCATCCTCTCTCTCCTTTCCCCCTCACCCACACCACAAATATTAGATGATCAGGAAAATTTGCTCTTGCATAAAAGACAGTCTGTGTTAGAAACACAAGAGAAAGGATTCTGCAACAGCTATAAAAGGGTTTTTGTTTGTTTCCCATGTTCTCTAAGGTTTTTGAGGGGTTATTCAAGAACTTAAAGGACTTTTCAGATAAATCAGTTTATGAAGCAGGTCTACGAGGCATCTAACTGGCTTTCTGGGTGGGACACTCACCAATTCTCTATAAATTGGGTCCAAGGTAAACCACAGAGCCACAGCACACCTCTGGCCCTTGGTGACTGCCTTCACCCCGTGCGGGTTCTCCCCTCCAGATGAGAAGCTGACCATCCGTCCACACTTTGGTTTGATAGAAGCCTGGGGAAAAGTGAAAGTCAGACTCTCAATTCCTGTGTCACAAACATCTCTGCAACCCCTGTTCTTTATCCTGCTACGGGAGTATTTGGGTCAAGTGTTGAGTCAAAGAATAATGGAACCCTGACGTTGAAGAAGACACAGATTATTTCAATTGCCTCATCTGTAAAACAAAGGTAGGTCAAAATAATACTAATTCAGAAAATAAAATTATTCAGGTGAAGGCCTCAGGTGGGGGGCAGGGGCTGGGTAGAGGAGGACAAAGGGGGACATCCGTAATACTGTCAAAAATTTTTAAAAATGGGGAGTGTGTGTGTGTGTGTGTGTGTGTGTGTTCAAGGGAAGAGCAGAGAAAAGGAGTCATTTTCCAGTCTTCTTTTTTTAAAAGTTTTAAATATATTTTTATTGATTTCAGAGAGGAAGGGAGAGGGAGAGAGAGATAGAAACATCAACGATGAGAGAGAATCATTGATCAGTTGCCTCCTGCACACCTCTCACCAGGGATCAAGCCCACAACCTAGGTACTGGCCCTTGACCCCAATCAAACCCAGGACCCTTTGATCCACAGGCTGATGCTCTATCCCAGTGATGGCGAACCTATGACACACGTGTCAGAGGTGACACGCAAACTCATTTTTTTGGTTGATTTTTCTTTGTTAAATGGCATTTAAATATATAAAATAAATATCAAAAATATAAATCTTTGTTTTACTATGGTTGCAAATATCAAAAAATTTCTCTATGTGACACGGCACCAGAGTTAAGTTAGGGTTTTTCAAAATGCTGACACGCCGAGCTCAAAAAGTTCGCCATCACTGCTCTATCCACTGAGGCAAATCAGGTAGGGCCCAGTTATTCTTCTTAATAATGAGGGGTGATTTGTCTTTGCTAGGGAAAGTTGCTTATGTTAAACAGCTTTACCAAGATAACTTTTCTGATGGCAATCTAGAGAGTTTAGCAGTTACTGGTACCCTCAGTATCTATCTGATTTCATTTTTCTGAAGAAGAAATTTATTGTACATTTCCACATAAAACCAGCAAAATAAATACTACCCAATGCATATTGCATAGGATGGTGTTAAGACCTGGTTTCAAGTTTTCTGGCTGCTCAATCCCTGGCACTGGTCAGGACTCACTCAACACACAAGGTTGCCGTCACTTCTGTGTGATTCCTGAATCTCAGCATCAACTTCTTAAAATACTTCTTACAAGAAAGGGCATGAGGACAATGGTATGCTTTCACTCTGATGGAAGAGGGAGGATGGAAAGCATTTTCACACATGAAGAACTTTGGGAAAGTTTTACAGTGGTTCTCAACCTTGGCTGCACATTAGAATCACCTGGGAATCTTTTTAAAATCCTGATTTCTGGGCCCCATGCTCCGGAAATTCTGTTTCTTTGTTATGGGGTGGGGCCACAACATTAGTAACAAAGAAACAGAATTTCCGGAGGATGAGGCCCAGAAATCAGGATTTTAAAAAGATTCCCAGGTGATTCTAATGTGCAGCCAAGGTTGAGAACCACCGGTTTAGGAAAAGAAGCTATCAACTGCCTGACGCAGTTGGAATTGACTACAGGTGTGTGGACTCACAAAGTCTCTGGGACTAATGTTACCATACAGACAGCCTCACCTGTTACATATCAGATACTTGGAGGAATGGACAAGCCCGATTGATGACTCTGCTTCTGTAGGAAAATACGTTCTGAAGCACAGATAAGTGATTGTAAACATACTATGGAACACAGCTCCAGAGTGATTTTAATTTTTCATGAAGCAAATGGAACTCATTAAATTTTATCTTTTGGAAACTTGCACAGAGAAACCCAAATCCCTAAATACCCATGTTTCACGGATAAATGCTGCTCTTGAAATAATCCATGTATCTTCCAAGTATAATAAAGCAAGTGTCTTCTGCTTTTCATCTCAGGGCTGATGACATGTCAGAGAAGCCTTCGACTGGAGTAAATATAAACCTTCAGCCATCATTCAGTTAATTATATTATTTTCAAATTTTTCAAAAATAAAGACGTTACCCCCTTATTGTAGTCCCAAACTGGGTTATTTCCCTACTTCGTCTGTCCCTCCAGGGGCAAAGAAGGGGAAGCGGAAAAGGAAAACTACCCATTTCTCTTTGTTATTGGGACCAGTTACCTAGGAATTTTGATTACCTACAAAATAAGAACTGTACCATATAAATTCATCTGAAGTAGAAATAATTTGGGAAATAAATATCCCAACTTGGAGAATTTGAATAAAAACATTGTTTAAATCAGGTTTTTCTTTTACTTTTGAGGGGAAAGTGGTGATAGTCAGTAATTTTAAAAATAGCTAAGTTCTTATATTAAAGGGATAGAACCATTAAAGTGGAGTATTATCTACTTTCACATAATTAAAAAACAGGATAACGATAAATTCACTTAACAAAATGAATTAACAAACAAAACAGACTCATAGATACAAAGAACAGACTGACAGCTGTCAGAGGAAAGAAGGTTGGGGGGTTGGGTATAAAAGGTAAAGGGATTAAAAAAAAACCAGCACCCTCCCCCATAGGCTCAGACAACAGTATGGTGATTACTAGAGGGAAAAGGGGATGGAGGGAGGTAGAAGAGGGTAAAGAAGGGATAAATGGTGAGGGAAGGAGATTTAACTTTGGGTGGTGAACACACAATACAATATACAGATGATGTATTGTATACCTGAAACCTATATAATTTTATTAACCAATGTCTACCCAATAAATTAAATTAAAATTAAAAGTATATATAAAATAAAAAATAAAATAAAAGCCCTGAATACAAACAAAAAAAAATTCCAGTTAATTTGCATTCAACAATGAATGAATTACTGTTTCAGACACTATTCCAGGCAACACTCTCAAACACTGAGCATTTCCAAATGTGGCCACGAGGTGGAGTAGAAGCAAAGAAATCTTTTCAACCACCAGTCTGATTTTCTTTCCACCTGGGCAAGATGCATTTTTGAACCTCAGTTTCAGTGTTAGCAGAGCTCAACAAACAAATCCTTCTGCACAGAGGCTCTTCAAAATATGAGAATTTTGTATAGTGACTTTAAAACCCAACCCAGACCACCCATCTTGATTTAATTTCCCAGATACTGAAGCATCACACTACTCCCATGTTAGTATTTAGCCTTTTTACCAAAAAGTGTAGGCACCATAGCCTTTTAAATATACATTATTATATTAAATTGTATTAAATATTATTTCTTAATTATAACAATGTTCCTGGACAATTTTAACCAGATCCTTATATTTCCTCTTTTACAGTAACATACAGTTTTTAAATACCATCTGCTTATAGTCTAGCAGTATGTCATTAATGATAAATGACTGTTTCACTATTTTTAAAAAATATCTTGTTATTGATTTTAGGGAGAGAGGAAGAGAGAAAGAGAGAGAGAGGAACATTGATGTGAGAGAGAAACATCAAGTGGTTGCCTCCCGCACACACCCTGACAAGGGACTGTACCCTCAACCTGGGTATGTGCCCTGACTAGGAATCAACCAGCAAGTTTTCAGTGGTGCTTGAGATGACACTCAACTTAATGAGTCACATTGGCCAATGCATGGCTGTTTCACTAAGAAAAATATGTAAAATTTGGGGAGAAAACCATAAAACTAAGAAAATGTTGCGGAAATAGAGTATATAATGCAAAATCCTTGAAGTTTTTCACATGCATGCCTCAACTATTTATATTTTGTATAGAGAAAAGAGATCTCTCATGATCTAGTTATAATTCAACTAGAGGCCCAGTGCACAAAATGTGTGTATGGGTAGGGTCCCTAGGTCTGGCCGGCGATCAGGGCCAACTGGGGCCTTCCAATTGCCAGCCAGGACCTCCCTTCCCTGGCTGCCAGCTGCCGGCTGGGGCCTCCCTTCATTCCATGCTGCCTGCTGGTGGTCAACGCATGTTATAGCAAGCGATTGGTCTCCCAGTCTAACTCCCATGGGGACAATTTGCATATTAGGCTTTTATATATATAGATTATCTCCTCAATTGGAAAACCTTCTTTTCTACATAAGTATCCTCTTTGCTGAAAGACCAGAGCATGCTGCCCATGTGGTCTGTAAGTGCTCTGCAGTCTGCTTTTCCAAAGGCATCAGTTGGCTTAGAAAGATGGTGGTTAAATTTAACTTTTGATTTTCACCTATGAAGGATGTTTGGAATCTCATCCAAAACATGTCATGTGACCACACACACAAATGTGTGCATATGTGAATGTATATATCAATGTTCAGGTATAGGTTTATTTGCAATCACAATCATACATACGCACTCACACATTCACACCAATATCCATACATGCACACACATAAATGTGCACATACATAATAGCTCTGATAACTTGGGTCTGATGGCCAATAATCAATCCAAGTATGTACAACACCAGGTTACTTGAAAGCCACTCTGTGGAATCATTTGACTTGTCCTAAGCTTGGGTGACTTGGGAATTAGTATATTTATGCTTCCACCAGATTATAATCAGTAGACTAAGGTTCTGCTTCCAAGTCTAACTTAACTTATATGAGGATCAGGAAATCCTTAATATTTCTATTCTTTAATTTACCCATCTTTAAAATGGATGGGAAGATTTCTATTTTGAAGGTTACATTTCTAACATTTTATGATGCATAAATCGATTGGGATTTTTTGCACTTCTTGAATTCTTAATCTCAAATATATTTGAAACCCAACTGTCTGAGTCCTTGGAAAATGGCAAAACTTACATAAAAATACTGAATAAATATGCTAGAGAATAGGTTTACTTACCATGGACACAGATAATAGCATGGGGAAGGTTTGGGGAGGGGCAGGGGTTGGGTGGAGGAGGTTGGGGGGAGGCAGAAAAATGGGAGACATCTGTAATATTTAAACAACAAAAAAAATAAAGAATAAGTTTACTTACAGTCACAGTCTTGGCATCCATTTCAGTGAATATGAATTCTCCTCCTTCAAAGTCGTCATTCATGTATAGCAGAGCACTATACGAAGAAAGGGGAATCATTTGTACTGTTAATGCTTACAACATCATTACCACAGAATACTGATGAATTGACCATTCTGATTAGTAAGTTTCCTTTGAACTAGACATTGAAATAATCGACCCTCCTAACCTCAAGAGTAAAATCAAATGTAGTTTGGATCATACCCTTGAAGTATTTATTCCACTTACGTTAATTTTTAATTATAGTTTAAAGCTCATCTCACATTTCACTTCCTTCAAAGAAAACCTAACTGGATTTAATCTAGCCCTTTGAACCTGCCCATACTACTTACAACTCTCTTCTTCGCTGTCATACTAGTAACTCTACAGAATGTATTTTTTCCCTAACTAGCTGGAGAGCTCCAAGAGGTGTAGCTTAGCCTTGCAGATAGAGGGCGCTCAATAAATGTTTCTGTATAGAGCACAGAGTAATAATAATTAACACACTATTATTATGTGTGACTACAAATCCTGACTCTTCTCTTTACACACGAAAATATCTTTCAATAAGAGAAAACATTTTTCCCCCTTGAGTGTCCAGTTTCTTATTGATAAAATGCAGATATAGATAAGTGATATGATAAGATCCCTCTGCATAAAGGTTATGTTTCAGTGAATGCTAAGGG